ACTCTGGGGCTGCAGTCCCTGCATGGCGAGTCGGGGGTGAGGGGAGTCCTGGAACAGGGGGTTTCTCAGGAAAGGGGAGTTGGGCGCTGGGGGTGGGGGAGAAGCCCCATCCCTGGGGAGTTGTGCCATCCCACCCTCACACAGTCCTGCTGTTGGGGCAGAGGGTGGCCTCATAGGGGGTGGCTCTTGGCATATTTGAGACCATTTTTCCGACAAAACTCTGTAGTATAGACATACCCTGAGTTGGCAAAAGCAATCTTGGGCATCTGGTAGTATAGGCGGGGGAAGGCATAGTCTTCCCAAACCATCAGGCATGGCCCTGCCACCACTACACACCCAAAACGCCTGCTGTAGGTGTTCTGGGGGCAGCGTATTGTTGCCCCCAGCACCTGCCTTCTCTATACTCCAGGGTTGGAGAGGCTGGGGCCACACACCCTATTCCTTCCTACATGGTGGTGGTGCACTGCCCCGTGTCCTCCCCTTCATGGGGGAAAGGGGGAGACGGGACGGTGCTAGGGGGAGCTGGCGCTAGGAGGAGCTGGCTTAAAAGCTTGGGCTTTTGCTACATTTCAAAAGCAGAAGTGGTGCAGCAGGAACCCAGGGCAAGCAGAAAGGGACTCAAGCAGTCCCCACTCACCCTGAGTTCCCCGCTGCACCTCTGCCTTGGATGGCTCTTACTACATTTAAAATGCAGAGGCGCAGATGACATTGCGAGCACCCCATCCCACAACTAATGGAGTAGTCAATGGAAATTCCATCAGCTACTTGATTAGCTGTTTAATTTAGATTTAACATTCCTATCTACATGTACTATTTCCTTACAAGTAGCTGCTCCATTTCCAAACCTTTGACAATCATAGCACCAATAGGGAGATAAATTTATAGTTTAATGAAGATTGCCAGCCCATTTTGATTACATCTGGAAGTGTCCCACCTTTAAGTGTTGTCTGTATAGTCGTAAATGGCTGGTTTCCCACCCCCCTTTTCCTACTGAATAGTTATTTAACCAAGTATATTTTTGACATCATCCTCAATCCTAGCTACAATCCACATGTAACATCTCTTCCTTCTATCAGGAATTTAGACACTTGACAAGTAACTCCCATTTCCCTAAAATTACAGTTAAGAAGCAAGCTAGAAAATTCTTATCTGTACATTCTATCACTAGCTCTCTACTCTGCATTACTCTTATCTGAGCCCCTGGTGATTCCAGAAACACTTTTAAGTAAATCGAAAACATTGTAGATAAAGGGAATGGAAAAAAATCAATGGTAGTTTGATATTAAATGTCACAGCCAAGAATGAGTAGCTTTTAACTATTACTATTGTGGTTCATACAGAGTAATCTTTCTTTCAGTGACTATCAATCCTTTACTTTTGTGAACTCAAAATGTAAAGCCCTACATTTCCTCATTCTCCACTTTTCCTAAGAGCGGCTTTTATTCTCTCCTCAGTCAGGGCCTGGTTTGTGTTTTTTGCCCATATAGTATGGTCACTGTCAAACAAGGAAATGCCTATTCCTGTACTCCTTTTCTGGAGGTCAATACGGTAAGGCTAATTACACTGCTTTATGGAGTATTGTTTATTTCTCTATGCTATGGTAGATTTTCCTCTACTATAATATGCATAGTTTTTACTTTCAAAATCCTTTTTTAACCTACATAGTGCTCTCTTTAGGTCAATGGATGCTATTTTATACAATAAGCCTTCTCACTAGGGCACATCACATGCTTTTTCAATATCTAGGAAAGCTAGTTATTTCTCATGCTTTTCCCCCCATCTTTAATATCTAATCAACTGTACTCCTTCCTCTCTTCGCTTTCCATGTTCTCTACAAGTACATTTCCCTCTGTTACTAATCTTTGGGTCAACATTCTTTCCATGGTTTCATCCAGATATGCTGTAAGGACAATTAACCCATCAGCATCATGTTTTATGCGCAGCATATGGGGTTTCCACAGTGGTCCTACAAATCATGTTTTCACTCCACTGGCAGCTCACCTTTTCCCTGTATACTGTTGTACAGTTCTGGAAGTATTTTCAGATGTTTTAACATTTCATTACATATGTCATCCTAGTCCAATGCAGAGTTTTTGCTTTTAGCTATAACTTTCTGAAGTTTCTTTGTACAGGTTTCAGTTAATGTCAAATCCCCATCTTCCTCCCACCTTTTCTAGTTCTCAGAGATTTCTATTTTATTATTTTTCACCATAGCTAACATTGTAGAATATTTCTGCTAAGGGTCCACTCTTCCTTCAATTAAAGCTTTTATTTCCCCTTTACTTTCTGCAATACTCCAGGGTAGCTCATATGGGCGCCACCCTCAGCTCTAGCCCTTGCAC